CCTGAATATCCTTTGTCAGCATTTGGTATTAAACTGAGATGCAGGACTCTTCAAACTGTACTGAAGTTCTAGTAAGCCTTCAGTGTATCGGATGAGAAAGACTGAAATCTTTCCAGTGTACAATAAAGAGCAAGTTGTCAGTTGACTGTTCAAAAAAATAAAAATATGGAATATGAAGAAGGATTCATGTTACATGAATCTTTGAAAAATAACGCACTAAAACAGCACAGGATAGCATCTTTATGTATGCAATGCTCTAGATATAGTAGAAACATTTCAGGAGGCATAGATTGCTATTTTGTTCCCATGAAAACTTGGAACTGTAAGAGAAGTCTAAGTGTTTTAGTTAGCTCAATATTTTAAAACCGCTTTCTCCATAATTCTCAGTGGTGGCATAATCCCGGGAGCATCAGTGATTCAGCACTCCTAGGGATGCCGCATAATAAGAAAAACATAAGATATAGCATAATATACACATCAAAATAATAAAATAATAATAATAACAGCCCCCATTTAAGGGGCCATAGAATATTTAAAGAATGGGGGTTAATAGAAATGCTTTTGCCTGGTGCCTAAAGACATGTAATGATGGCTCCATGTGATTCTCTCTGAGGGAACATGCCACAGATGGGGAGCCATCACAGAAAAGGCCCATTCTTGTGCTGTCATCCTCAAAACCTCTCGAGGAGCAGGGACAAAGAAAGGGCCTCAGATGACAAGCACAGGATCTGAGTCAGTTTGTATGGGGAGAAGAGGTCCTAAAGATATTGAAGTCCTGAGCCATGTAACATATACTACATCAGCATTGCACTCTTAACTGGGCCCAGAAACTAATTGGCAGCCAGTGCAATTTGGCGTAAAGCTTAAACCATCTTGTTCTAATGAGCAACCTGGCCATCAGATTTTGCACCAGCTGAAGTTTCTGAACTGAATTCAGAGGCAGACCCATTTATAACACATTATAGTAATCCAACCTAGAGGTTTACAGAGCATAAAGCACAAATGTTAGGCTATCCTTGTCCATAGAGCTAAAGCTGATAGAAGGACCTCCATACCACCAAAGCCTCAGGGGATAGTAAAGGATCCAGGAGCAAACCCAAGCTATGTACCTGTTACTTAAGAGCAAGTGTAACCACCTCAAGAGGAGGCAACCTCCCATCCATCTTGTCTAGAGAACCACCCACTAATAGTGTCTCTGTCTTATCTGGATTGATTTTCAGTTTATTGGTTCTCTTCCAGACACCTGTCCAGCCTATCCACTGCCCCACCTGTAGATGTAAAGGAAAAATAGAGCTGCGTGTCATCAACACACTCCAAAACTCTGGATGACTCCACCCAGCAGCTTCATATGCTGCAGATTTGATTTGATTTAGATTTATTGCGGCCATTGGCCCATATCGAAAACAATACAACAGAATTTATCCATAAACAATACAATTTAAACAGTTCCAAGTTAAAACACCCTTATAAAACCAGTTTTACTTTAGTTAAGTAAACACTATACACAATAAGCTCCGTCTATGTAAACCGCAATTCCGATCCATCAGATTTTGGGGGGTATACGTCTTAGTTCTGGCGCTTATTGATGGTTCTTAAGTTTAGCTAAGCTGTCAGAAACATACAGTGATCCATTTCTCCTCTTTTGAAATAAAACATTAATCAGGTATCTAGCGATTGCAAGGGATCTACTTGTATCTTCGTCGTTTAATAAGTATATTATTTGGGCTTCCTGAGGACTGTCAGCAATTCTCGATAAATATGGGGCCAGAAACTTGGACCGTGAAGCCGAATGTAATGGACAACAGAAGATTATATGATGTAACGATTCTATAGATCCGCTTTTACAGTCACAGAGGGGTGAGATCTGTCCGTTGGAGAGTCTGTTACCCAACACGTTTGATGGGAAAGCATTGAATCTAGCCATTATAAAGGCATACCTGTGCGTCACCACAGATAAGGTAGTTAAGTAAGATGGAAGTTTCGTTGGTGGTGTTAAGCCAAGGTTTATCGGCGAACAGGTGCCACCACCTGTCGCAATATTAAGTTGTAAATCCATCTCCTCTAATTTGTGAGTTATAATTCTTTTGGCCGAGGTTACATCCAATTTTAATAGTTCAGATGGAGATAGTCCTAGGGACACAAGTTTCCCATGTATTATTTTTGCCCAGGGGCTAGGGAAGTCATCTCTCCAGAGGCATTGTATCAAGTGGAGATTTGGAAGTTTATGCCATAAAGCCAACCAGTAACAGAGGATGCATTTCCATAATGTGGTTTCTAGAGATGTAACATTTAGTTCCAGTCGTATAGCAGTATTGCTTACACACCTGGGTAATTTTAACAACCTTCTTAAAAGCTGGTTTTGGATTACCTCCAATTGTGTTAGATTAGTAAGGGACCCCCATAATGGGACTGCATATGCTATTGTTGCAATCACCTTTGCCTTGAAAACTTTTAACACTGATGGAATATGGAAAGCCCCATCTGAAAAGAAAAAACGCAGTAGCGCATAGGAAAGGGCTTTAGCTCTGTTTAATACATATGCAACATGGGCCTTCCAGCCCATGTTGTGTTGGAGAAAGACTCCCAAGTACTGAAATTTAAAGACTTGGTCAATAGCTTTTCCGTCTATTCTCCAATTATAGGTTTTTCGACTCTTGGTGAAAATTAGGACTTTGGACTTAACATGGTTAATTGTAAGAAAATTTGATTTGCAGTAAACATCGAAAATTTTTAATGCCCTCCTAAGGCCGACTCTTGAAAAGGATAGGATCACTGCGTCGTCTGCGTAGAGTAGAAGGGGCAACGATATTGGGCAAGACGGGGGCGTGGATCGGTTCTTGAGCCTCTAACAGAGGCGCCCTCATATCACTTATAAATAGATTAAAAGGGTCGGAGCAAGGATACATCCTTGGCGAACACCTCTATTGATAGCTACTGAGTTTGAGAGGTCGCCTGCCGGAGTGATTCTCACCCTAGCGGCCGATCCGTCATGCAATTTAGTTATTAGCCACAAAAGTCTTTTGTCTATTCCCCATCGGGCTAATTTCCCCAAAGCAATCCTCTGGGGATGCTGTCAAAGCGGCCTTTAAATCAATAAAGGCCGCACAAAGTTGGCCTCTATTTGGGAGGAGTATTTCCGGGCAAGGTGGTATAAAACTAAGACCTGATCAACCGCTGACTGATTCGGTCTAAAACCAGCCTGTTCAGGCCCAATCAGGTTGTTCTCTTTGGCCCACTTAGTAAGCTTAGTTAACAAGAACCGTGCATATATTTTCCCAATTAATGACAATAAACTGATATTCCTGTAATTTCCCGGGTCATCTGTCGAGCCTTTTTTATGAATTGGAACAATAATCGCATCCTTCCATATTCTTGGTACCTTCCCGCTGTTGTTTACGGCATCAAAGGTAGCGGCCAAGATTTTCGCCCACCTGTCCAGCCTATCCACTGCCCCACCTGTAGATGTAAAGGAAAAATAGAGCTGCGTGTCATCAACACACTCCAAAACTCTGGATGACTCCACCCAGCAGCTTCATATGCTGCAGATATTAAGCAACATGGGCGACGGCAATGAACCATGAGGAACCCAACATTGAAGGCTCCTTGGTGCAATTTTTTTTTTTAAATCACCTGCTGAAGATGACCATCCAAGTAGGAACAGAACCATTGGAAAGCATGGTCACCCACCCCCAATTTGGATAGCCTCTCAAAAGGAACACAGTGTTTGATGGTACTGAAAGCCACTGATACAAGAAGGATTAACAGGGATACACTGCACCTGTCTCCCGACAGAGGTCAACCAGGGAGGTTTCTGTGTCAAACCCAGGCCACATCCTAATTGAAATGGATCTAGAAAATTTGTCCCCTCCAAGAGCGCCTGGATCATGATAGAATCATAGTGTAAAGAAGGGCATGTTATCAGTTAGTGTGACTTGGAAGTTAAAAAAGAAAGGGAAGAAATTCAGGTCACAACAGGCCTTTAGTCTAAGGCAGCCTTTCTCAACCTGTGGGTCCCCAGGTGTTGTTGGACTACAACTCCCATAACCCCTAGCTAGCAAGGCCAGAGCTCAGGGATGATGGGAGTTGTAGTCCAAAACATCTGGGGACCCACAGGTTGAGAAATGCTGGTCTAAGGGCTAATCCACGCTTACCTTTTCTGTTCACCCCCTCCCCATCCAGCTGTCTGCCCACAACTGAAGGAGATTATGATATTGTGAATGAGGTGTTTCCCATTTCTTACCTGAATTGGAGTAAAACTCCAAGGAAGGATATTAGGCTTAGACAAATTATGGTGGAGGCAAGTGTGTGAGAGAGTGAGAGAAAGGAGCATGTAAAGGGGACAACATTAACTAGGAGGATAAAGCCTCTCCTCCTCCAGGAGGGGAGGGATTGTGAGCGTGAACAGTTTCCCGCGTTATGCAGGGAGCGTTCCGGCCCCTGCCCTGCTCCATCGCTGGCACGCCACGCCTCCCAGAAGAACACCCAATCGGGTGGCAGCTTGGGGGCGTGGTTTAGCCGGTCAAATGCGGCCGCACCAGCTCTCCCTGCCATTGCACTGCCGATCTCTTCTTTTTCCAATTGGCAAATTGGCACTGGCCTTTTGGTTTTTTTCGCCTACCTCGTAGCAGTCGTCACAACTTTCTCGGTATTTGGCGGTTAGGCATTGGAATAGGTTGTTGGTGTATGGAAGTGCAAGGTGTGGCCATCCCCTTCACTTTTGGGTATTCCGTTAAAGGAATCCGGCGGTCGTGGATCCTGTCCGATGCCCTGTGCAGCTGGGGGCCATGGCACGACCTCCGGTGACATCAGGGGAGAGCTTATAGTTGTATTTGCATCAACAGGCTCCCCCTACTGGTGGTTAACCCTCATCAGACTCACCCCCCTCTGAGTGGGTGGAGTTAAAATTTGCAGTTGTCCAATGCCTAAGCCAATACCTCTCACATGCTGTAATCAATAAAGTTGTGGCCTTTTCTAGCCCAATAACCTAATATGCTGTGTCTCTGCTAGGGTGAGGTTAACACCTGAGGGCGATCTAACAAACTCAGTTCCAATAAACAAGGGGGTACGACAAGGGTGTATCCTTGCCCCCTATCTTTTTAACCTCTATATTAGTGACATGAGGACGCCCCTAGCTGAGGCCCAAACCTCCATTCATGCACCCAGGCTTGCAGACTATCGCTGCCCCTTATTATTGTACGCTGACGATGCGGTGATCCTCTCTTATTCTCGAATCGGTTTGAGGAGGGCCCTTAAGATTTTTGCATCGTATTGCCAAACAAATTTACTTACTATTAACCATTCCAAATCTAAAGTCCTAATTTTTTCCAGGAGTCGTAAACTGTATAGATGGGAACTTGAGGGGAAGCCAATTGAACAAGTTTACAAATTTCAATATCTAGGAATTTACTTCCAGTATAATATGGGATGGAAAGCGCATATCACATATTTACAAAACAAGGTGAAAGCCCTTATCTACGCTATACTACGCTTCTTCTTTACTGAGGGGCTATGCATGTTCCATCCGCCTTAAAAGTTTATAGTGCAAAAGTGGTTGCAACTATGGCCTATGCGGTCCCTTTATGGGGCGTCTTTGTAAACCTCTTGCCTCTGGTGACATTGCAAAATCTTTTCTAAGACGCCTTTTGAAACTACCCTCCTGTGTAAGCAACTCTGCCATTCGCTTAGAACTTAAGACCCCTCCCTTGAGATTCTGATGTGGAGACATGCCTTTAATTATTGGCTGTCCCTTTGGCATAAATTGCCAAACTACCATCTTATTCAGTGCCTTTGGAGAGATGAATTCACCAGCCCATGGGCAACAAAAATCCATTCCAAACTGTTGTCTTATGGAATCTCTCCTCCGATATACTTAATTTAGATCTAATTACAGCTAAAAAGGTCATCAAACAAAGATTGGAGGATGTAGATTTACAACAAAATCTTACCACAGGTGGAGGTACATGTTCCCCGATATATCAGGGCATTACATCTATGTCCCAGATACCTCGATATCTGTCTACTTTATCGGCTGCGTCGCATAGATTCGCATTTGTTAGAGCCAGATTTAATGTGTTCCCCTCAAATGTGCTGAGCAATAGATTTTCTAACGGTAAAATCTCTGTTTTGTGCGCATGTGACAACAAATCGATAGAATCCCTTTATCATATCTTGTTTAATTGCCCCTTATACAATGTTCCCCGATCAAGGATCCTGAGTTCAATCATCCTGGAAATTGCTGCTAAACCACCTGAATTACATCTAGCTTATCTACTCCAGGACATTGACTCTTATAGAACTTTACAGGTTGCTAGATTCCTGATCTCAGTTCTGTCATATAAAAGACTTCAGGGAATGCTGCATGACTATTAAAAATTCAGTAAACTCTATGCACCATCTTTATCTTCAAGGCCATAACACGGTACATTTAGAGATTATGCGTTGAAATATTTTAGTTGATATTTTAGATTGTAAAATGCTATTGATTTTATCTATTGATTTTTATCTATTGATTTGTTTTACCTTGTGGGCTTATAGCCGAATAAAGTATTATCTATCTATCTATCTATCTAATATGCTGTGTCCATGTGTCTTTATTATTCCCAAGTGGGAAACGGGTCCTCGAATCACAATCACAGGTTTCAATGCAAAGCAGTGTGTGTGTACAAGTGAGCGGTGGGGACCAATCCTTTGTCAGAGGATACACAATTGACATTTAATGGGATGCCCCAGGTCCTTGTCTTGCTGGCTCTTACAATGAAATAATTGCATAGTTGTTTTCTGTTTCTATTACAAAGGGAAAGGGGGGGCGGCGGAGGGAGGATTCCCCAGCCTAATTCTCCTGCGTGACAACAAAACATCGTAGTAGAACTCACTAAGGGACATAGTGACCTGTGATACCTTTATTTAAAAAAGGGGAAATATTACAAATTGGGTGGGTGAGGAGATGACATGTCTTCCAGAAGAGATCAAAACCTACACAGGGCATTCCTGCATATCATGCAGTGCTGAATGGAAAACATAATTGTGAGTATAGAAACTAGAAGGACCTGAGAGCATGAGAAAGCTGAGCCTAGTGTAAATGGATATTTAGTTTGCTTCAGTATGGAGTTCTGCTGCTCAGTGTTCCAGCCAGCCCATGAGCTAGGCTCTCTTGTAGAATTTGAATCTGCCCCATTTTCATCCCACACAACAGAGGGTCAGCATTGCCATCATTGAACATCTTTTTCTGTCATTGGGGTGCTTCCTGTTTTCCTTTTTGCTGGTTTCTTTATTTTTTACCTTTTTTCTATTACTACAAATCTGCCCCTCAGCATGCTGCTGCATCCCCCCCCCCCCCCGCTCAGGTAACAATCCTTATGCAGTCAAAATATCACCATCACAAGAGAGATACCACCAGGCTTGGGGGCACTCCAAAATTTGCAGAAATACAAAAGTCTTGGGAGGGGGAACCACACCCAAATGAATTCACTATTAGTATATATGATGTCAATATGTAAAGTAGCTGTGCTTGTGTGTATCTAAAAGCATGAGACATGTGGAAAAGGAAGACTTTCCTAAGATGGAGAGGACAACACTTGTTTCATTCCTGAAGATCAGGCTGATGGACCATAGGAGTAAGGATTCCCTAGATATCTATATGTGTATATAGTTTTAGTTCCATTAATGTTCAATTGTTTTTTCTAATTATTGCTTTTATTATGTTTTTAGTAATTGTTGATTTTATCTTTAAGCTGCCTTGAGTCGGGTCAGTGGAAAAGGCGGGGTATAAATAAACATATAATATTTTTAATAATTATACTAATAACTGACTTGTTATTCATGTTGGCTGGGCCAATCCCAAGCAGAAGGCATTTCCATGTATGCAAATAGAGGCAGGTACCTCTGATTTCTGTCTTTTCTCCCCTCATTTCTCCCACATTAAATGCTTTTTTGGAGGGTAACTCCAACTCTAAGGAGAAAATTTTCAGAGGCTTCAACTGCAACATATTGGTAGTAAAGCCTCATTCTATCCGTTGATTTCCATCTGCGGTTTTTGGGAAGATAAAGAACTGGCCACAATCCACCAGCCACGTAAACATGCCTATTGGTTTCAATTAATTTAGGTGTACTTAACTCTGTTCCAGTGTTCCCACACTGACAACAGACCTGGTGGCAGCTATTATTTATGTTCCTGCTGTTTCTTCTAGATTAACTCCACATGGCATACCTAACCACATGGAATGGGACCTCAGCCACTGAATTTTTGCTACTCGGATTCTCAGATACCCCTGAAATGCAGCCCTTCCTGTTTGCTTTGTTTTTGATCTTCTACATGGTTACACTTGCTACCAATTTCTTACTTTTGATCACTGTATCAACAGATCGTAGCTTGCACACACCCATGTATTTCTTCCTGGGTAACCTTTCCTTCCTCGAGATCATCTATACATCCAACATTGTTCCCAGGATGCTAACCAGTTTGATCTCTGAGGAGAAGACCATTTCTTTTATGGACTGCATGATTCAGTTTTATTTCTTTGGATCACTGGGTGGCACTGAATGCCTTCTCCTATCAGTGATGTCTTATGACCGTTATATCGCCATATGCAACCCTCTCCACTACACAACTGTTATGAACAGCAACATGTGTGTTTGGCTGGCTGCTAGCTCTTGGATCAGTGGCTTTCTGATAACCTTAATTACAGTGTTGCTGATGATAAGCTTGACCTTCTGTGGGCCCAATGAAATCGATCATTTCTTTTGTGATTTTTCTCCACTGCTGAAGCTTGCTTGTTCTGACACATACCTGTTTGAAAAGACTTCTTTCATTCTTTCTTCCAGTCTAACATTGATCCCATTCCTACTTACGGTTGTGTCTTACACCTATATATTGTCAGCTGTTATCAAACAGGCTTCTGGCACCAGGTCTAAAAAGGCCATTTCTACCTGCTCCACTCACCTCATAGTAGTTACAACTTTCTATGGGACGCTGATTACAATGTATGTGGTTCCTGCTGCTAAGCACTCTGTAGACACAAGCAAGATCTTCTCAATCTTCTATACTATTGTGACTCCAATGATTAATCCCCTCATCTATAGCTTGAGAAACAAGAAGGTACGTGAAGCCTTGAAAAGGCTTGTAGATGCAAAACTTGTATTCTGGAAGTAGCAGAAATGGATAAATGTAATGAAGCAGGTCACATTTGAACTCTTACTTATCTATTTACAGAAGGAGAAGCAAGCCTGTAGACCTCCAGATATTGTTGAACTCCTGCTCCCATCAGCCCCAGGCACTACTGCTGATGGTAATGGATGATGAGATTTGTAGTCCAGCAATATATGGAGACCTACAGGTTAGCCACCTGCAATTTCCCAGAGCTATTTGCCTATTATGGAGCATATAATGTAACTTAACTTAACTAAATCACAGCAGGCACAGGTAATAACTGAGAGATGTCAGGTAAGTATAGGCAGTGAAATCCAAAGAGAGAAAAGGGGTCGGGGAGAACAAATTGTTCATCAGAATTAGGGAACCCAGTAAATGAGTCGGAAATTGAACTGTAGTATGGAGGGGCAGTTTGAATCTGGGGGAGGGGGGAGGAACAGCAAAGAAGCCATACTAGAATCAGAAATAATTGTAGAAACATAGCTCTGCCCCAATCCACAAAAGTCACTTTCCCCACACCCCTATCACAGTTCTTGCTCCTCAGTATCATCCATCAAGCCTGCTTTTATAACTCCTTTCCCTAATCTTGTTTGCAAGTAGACTTTGGAGCAGAAATATGATTGCTAGGAAAGAGTGACGTGGAAATTAGAACAACCAGCAGAGACTCCCACAGTATTCTGGCTTGAATGTATCTGTCAGTTTAGGAGCTTAGTAATGTTAGTAATGCTTCATCATGGAAGGTGGACAGGGAGAAGGTTACCTGATTATGATGTTTGTTCCGGGGGGGGGGGTGGAGATGGTGGTGTAGAAATGATGACTGTATAGAATCACCCGGAAGTGATTCTTAGAACTCCATCAAATCCATGTACTGCTGCTAATTGTTCCTAGAAAGATTTTGGTCTATCGTTTTCACAGGTTTCTGATAGCATATCAGTGTATCTGAAATGTTTTAGAATTATCTCAGTTTTATTGGTGTTTAATATGAATACATTTCCATTAGTTAAGCTATATTATATTTGTATACCTTTATTTATTTATTTATTTATTTAAAAACTAACTGTTCCCATTAGTAAACATATTATATTTGGACAGCTCCATCATTTTGCTTTATTAGTCTATATACAGAATTATGCATACCTTCTATTTTAAAAATCAGTGCACACTTCACTTACTATTGCATGTTTCATGATACCTTCTTCTGTATAACTTAAATATTTTCAAAATAAACAAAGTAAGAAGCCCCAGTTATTTCAATGAGTAAGTCAATGTGTTGAGATTCCTGCATTGTAGAGAGTTGGACTAGATGCTTGAGGTTCCTTTCAACTTTACAATTCTATTATTCTTATAGCCATGTAAATAGACACATAAATGAGAAACTTATATGGAGTGAAATTTGCAATGTTCTGAATTTTGCAGTGCAGTTCCCACATGAAGAAATGTTGACAAAAATACATACACATGTACAGTAAAATTCATGCATTTGTAACATTAACATACAAAAATGCATTATATTAGGGCACATTATTTTCCAAAAATGTGTCTCTTAGGCAAAGATATATACAGACATGATGGATTTTCATGAGGGCTGTTTTATAATGCAAACTGATGTGGACATGTGGTAAGTGAATATAATTAAGATTAGAAAAATGAGAAATGGAGAG